ATGTTTTCCTTGCCATTGACTGTTACAGCCACGTGGAACCCTAAGTATCCTCCAGGCCATTTTACATAAGAGGAAGCAGACCCAGAATAAATCATTTCTGTGGGTCATACAGATTGCAAGATGCAAAGCAAGAGGCCAGTTCCTCAGACCCAGTAAACTATTGATACCGAGCACAGAATTAGAGACTAAGAGTGGGAGTAGAGAACAAAATGCCCCAAAAGCTGCAGGGAATCTGGAATCTCCAGGAGGATGAACCAGAAAAAGAGCCTGGATCATAAGTAGGAGTGATTAGGGCATAGAGGACTGGAAAGACATTACCTGGAACAGAAAACTTGTGGTCAGAAGTCATGAGTAATGGATGATAAATAAAGAGAGGAAGAGGGGTCCCCAAGGTAATTATAATAGATGGCATTTATTGAGCAAGTGCTATGTACCAAGTACCTGTGATCTTATTTAATCCTCACCAAAAAACGCATCAGAGGTAAAACTATTACTATTAATATCCATTTTAGCAATGAGGAAATTGAAGCAGAGAAGAATTAAGTAATTTCCTCAAGGTCACAAATGTAGCAGGTGATGGTGGCACTGGGGATCAAACCCAGACATAATTTCTGTAAAACCTGGATCATTAACCAAAACTCTCACCATATTAGTAGTTACTGTTTTGAGTAATCAGAAGGAGGGAGGAGGAAGCCCTAGGTAGGGATTATATTGATCCCAGAGACTGGCTACTCAGAGAGGATAAAACAAAGGGGCATTGTTGAAAATGGGTGGGGGAGATGGGGACATTCGGAATTTGGGATAGGGCCAGTAAAAAAATAAAGGAGCAGACATAATCACTGCACAACCATAAAACTGAACAGTTGAAATCTTACGTTGAATGGAAAGAAAAATTGCAAATAATATAAAGACTAAAAATAACTTTTATTTGGTTCTGGAATACCTACAAATGTTGTTGTGTCTGGTGCTCTTAGCAGTCACAAGATATCCAAAGAAATAAATTCTGTTCAACTGACTCAAGAGCATCCTCAGATCTGATTTTCCTCTCCCAGCCCACCAATAAGCTCTCTCTTGTGGCAAATGGGAGATTACCCTTAAGACTCAAGAAACACCAACCCAAGTGGAAATGTCTGACTTGGACCTTAATGATGTGGAGACATTAGGTTTATAGGTCTACTGCAGTTTCAGAAGGCCAGCAGTGAGGACTGGATCATCCTGTTTGCCCTGCAGTGGTAGACCAGCTTTCCCAAAATTGCACCAGCATATCTACGCAAAGGGAGCCTTCCCTGCTCAACCCCCCTCCACCAAGACTGGAGCACACAGGCGGGTTGATCACCTTGGCACACAAAATCCCCTCTGCCAGTGGGAATCCACATGCAGACAGGAGGGGTGTGGGACCATCCCTGAGGCAGGTGCTTGTCAGAGTCTGGAATTTAGCCCTACTTGCAAGCCCATAAATTAACTGTTACTATTTCGTGGATGCTGGCAGAAGACAGGAGAACCTTCGGACACAAAGAAAGGACTGTTGGTCATCGCACATCAGGCAGTATGAACATCACGTTGGCCAGGGTTACCCTGTGCCCCTAAATCCCAGGCAGTATCTCTGAAGGACCCAAATGGATGCCATATAAGCAGTAGGCTTGTGTACGTTACAGTCAAGGAACACCGAACTTGGGAAAGGCATGCTTTCCTCATGAACTGTCTTGAGCCTGATCTTTTTCCAAAGGGCATCTCTTGAGGTTGCTCACTGCAAACACTACCCTGAGAAATGGCCCAGTTGGTGACCACACAGGACTTGGCATTCTTGACATGCCCAGTAAGAACATGCAAGAAGCTCAAGCTCAAGACCCATGGCAGATTGCCCTGCCCAGCAGACACCCCTGACCCCCCCTACCTCTGCACTGAGTTGACCAGTTGTCCCCATGAGCTCTGCAACTCACAAAATGATTGCTCTGCTGGCAAGGCAGGATTGTATCCCAAAGGTACTGACACACTGATCTTTGGTAACTCTCTGCATGTGTTGCAATGAGATTAATGTGATTGGTGAGGAGTTTGCAGTTGAATAAGAACATAGAAAAGTAATGACTTAGCAGCTCCATTGAAAACAGAAGTTTGTAGGGCACCTGGGTGGCTCAGTCGGTTGAGTGTCCGGCTTCGGCTCAGGTCATGATCTCACAGTCTGTGAGTTCGAGCCCCGCGTCGGGCTCTGTGCTGACAGCTCAGAGCTTGGAGCCTGCTTCTGATTCTGTGTCTCCCTCTCTCTCTGCCCCTCCCCTGCTCATGCTCTGCCTCTCTCTGTCTCAAAAATAAATAAGAACATTTTAAAAAATTAAAAAAAAAAAAGAAAACAAAAGTTTGTGTGGAAAAGTAAAATAATTATAGTTGATTGTATAACAGAGCTGTAAAGGTATTACATAGTCATAATAATGAAAACAATGAATATAGATCTAACCTAAGTTCTCATATATAATATTTATATTAGGGGGATGGATGATGGGAAGTGGGTGTGTGTGGTGGAGGCTGGCAAAGGAAAGAAGGTAAATCATCTCTTCCAGAATATCTAGGATATCTATATACACCTATATAATGCCTGACACTGAAATATCAAGGAAGCATTTTATTCAAAAACATGGAGGTATACATCTCCAAAATAACCACCTGGAAAGATATGAAAATCATTGAATGAAAAATGAAGAAAAAATATTTTGGAAGTCATTTTACTTTGCATAAACCAGGCATTGAAAAAATACTTATTGTCCTTAAGTAAAGAATTTTCACTGGGAATGGTTGACAGAAAAGAGAAGAACTGCAGAAAGATCATGCAATTGGAAGTAACAATGTGGAAATTTCATTTCTAAGTAATCTCTGTACCCAACGTGGGGCTTGAACTTAACCCCAAGCTCAAGAGTTGAGCACTCCACAAACTAAGCCAACCAGGCACCCCTGGAAATTTATTTTGAACAAAAACTTGATTCAATCCTCAACTGCTTTTATAGCTTTATAGGATAAAACCAATAATAAAAACTAAACTAAACTAAAATAATAAAATAAAATAAAATATAAAATTAAATTAAATTAAAAAATATGAAGCCAGACTAGCTGGCTGTGTATGGAGGCCCTACCTTCAGGGCCTCACACCTTCCAGGGAATGTTGGTTTGAAAGCTCTAGAGTAAAAACAAAGAAAAAAAGACATCAAATTCAGCAAAGAAATCCCAGCCTGAGCACCCTTGGACCCTGTAGCCCTGGACAGCAGTCAAAAATGGGAATCAGAGAACATCCCAGTGAAGTGGCTGAGGTCTACCTGGAGGCGGAGTACTCTGACCTGTTCAGAGTGAGCGCCTACTACCTGGACTAAGCATTCACTGCTTCTTATGTTCTACTCGCCAGCAAAGGGCATGAGAAGGACCAAGGAACCTCGAGAAGAGAGGACACAGCAGGCAGAAGACCCTGCAGAATAGAAAGAGGGCTTAGAAGTATGCAATGGTGTTCCTCAGAATCCTACTTTAGCCACTATACATATTCTCAAAAGCTCTGGGTTCAGGACGAGAATGGAGACAGGGAGAGACATTGCCAGCCAGTACACTCGTGAGACTCAAGGAAGGTGCCTAAGTTCAGATTCTGTCCTCATCCTGAGCTCCCTAGGGAGAAACTGGCCTGGATAAGCCAGATCCTTCAGATCTCTTGCTCAATAGTACTTTCTCTTACACCGAATTGGGTGAGCCATATGCAAAAATACTGTCTCTGATATTTAGTCATGGAAGAAAACCCAAATAACTCAGAAGGAAATAACTCAGCCAGTGATATGTCAAAGCAACTTTGGGCTCTTTGAACAAATTGAAAGAACACATGACAAAAGAAAAATTTCAGATCAATAAGGAAACCCAAAGTCCACAGAACAGGCCAGGGCTAAGGCAGACTGAAATGTGAGACCCCGCCCCACCCAGGACAGGGGACATAGGCTGGGGGTCGGCCAGGAAAGGGAACCTTGGAAGACCCCAGTCCTGGCCAGCTGTGGGGGAAGGGGAGAGGGACACAGAGCGACTCCGAGACCCAGAGAAACTTCCTGGAGGGGTTCAGGTTTCAGAGGAGGTGTGAAAGCCAAGACAGCTGGCCAAGAAGAGGTAAAAAGATTGTTCCTGACCAGTCAGGCATGAGACGGCTGAGTGGAGGGTCACAGGGACCTGACAAGGGACATGACTGAGAGTGGAGCTGGGCCATGGGCACCCCCAGGCTCACCAGGGAGGATAAAGGGCCCAGAGGACCAAATGTGTGTCCTTCCCTGAGCACCTCCCACCTGCCCAACAGAGAACCAGCAACAGATCCTCCTGCAGGCAGAACCAAGTTCAAGCGCACTTTAAAGATGCCCCACCCCAGGAGGGCCTCACTGCCACACACTGTCTCCTTCTTGGCAGTTCCTCAGTCCCTTAGTACTCCCTTGTCTCTTTGGCAGATTCCCCTGGGGACAGAGAGATAGGGAGGGAGTCAGGGATGTGAATGTCCTCCAGACAGAACTCTGGGATGCTGGGTGTGAGAGAGAGAGAGTCATACCCTAGATGGGCTCTGCCAGGGGCCCAGGCTCTGGCCAGGTGCAGAGCTTTTCCAGAGGTGGTCTGACAACACCCAAGTCCCCTCCCCGCACCCACAGTGAGCCTAGGGTGGGTCATGATAGACTGCAGAGGCATTTGCTACCTGAAACCCCCAGCCATTGGCATATTTTCACCTGGGGGATACACAGACTTTCAGCCTGCAGATCAGCCGTCTCAGCTCTCGATTCGCACACCATCTCTGAGCTCACTGAGTGCAGCCTCTGGCTTGTGCATCCTTCTCTCTCACTGTCAGGGGAGGAGCCTGTCCTGCACTCTCATTGGCCTGCAAAGTCGCCTTCCCCGGGCCGGGCTCAAAGCCCAACCATTCCCACAACTACACCTGGCTTTATCTCCAAGTAGTCTGCTCCGAGCTCCAGGACCCAAGGCAGTCCAGAACCTTCCAGTCAGACACAATGGGCACAATGGTGTCTGTCCTGCTGTCCCTGCTGCTCCTTCTGGGTCCTGCAGTCCCTCAGGAGACCCAAGCTGGTGAGTGAGGAAGTAAGGGTGGCTCTGGAGAAGAACGGAGGGGAAGTAATAAATGGAACAGGTGGGCTGGAGAAGGGCCCCTCCTACAGCTGTGATCCACAAGTAGACTGTGTGAATGGGAGGCCAAGGCTGTCAGCTAACTCAGCTCAGAAACTTCTAGAAGCACTGAGGGAGCCTCTGGACCCATGCTAAATGAGGCCGTAAAGATCTGAAACCCCTTAGTTTACAAATGAAAAAAACTAAGACCAGAGAGGTGAAGTGACCTGGCCAGAGTCATACAGCCAGGACGGGGCAGGAGCCACACAGGTAGAACTTCTTGTTCTTTTCTTTCTTCCAAGGGCTGGAGGAATCTGTCTGACTCTCAGGGAAGAGAGAGCAACCCCAAGGGGCAGATATGAAGGCAGGTTAACTGGAGGGTTCTAGAAAGAAATCTGTCCCCTCCCCCCACAGTGCCACTGTTAACCCTGAAGGCAAGTTACTGGGAGAGAGGCCAGCTGGAACCTTGAAAGAACCAAAGTCAACTCTAGAACAGGAAAATGAGGCTGTTTCTCAGCCAAAAATCTCAGGGGGAAGAAACATAAGCCACAGTGTGCATGTTTTAAGTTTGCTACATTTACAAACTATGAGAACATAGGTTTTATTTGAGAATGTTAATCACACCCTACTCCAAAATTTGTATTAGCCAGGGTTCTCCAGAGAAACAGAACTAATAGGATGCATACCCAGACAGAGATTGATTTTAAGGAATTGGCTTGCACAATTGCAATCCACAGGCTAGTTCAGCAGGTAGAGACCCAGAGAAGAGTCGGTGTTGCTGTCCTGAGACCAAAGGAAGTCTGGAGGCAGAATTACTTCTTCTTTGGGGAACCAGGCTTTTTTCTTGTGGCCTTCAACTGATTGGGTGAGGCCCACCCACATTATGAAGGGTAATATGCTTTACTTGAGGTCTACTGAATTAATAATGTTGGTAGTCATGTGGCAGATTCCTAGTTCAAGTACTGACATTATTCTTGCTAATTAGTTTCTAAATGTGATTAACATTTAACACCCCTGTGAGTTGTATCATGAATTAATTATGGCGATGTCCTCCTCTCCAAGTCCCTGCCTTATACCAAAACATAAGGCACAGCCCTGGGAATTCTGAGCTCTAGATCCATTCTAGGTCATTTCCTGAGTTTGCTGGTAAATTCTTCCTACACATTGGAACTATACGTATTAGATTAGGTTAGACTAGGTTATGCTCCAGTAACCAAGTTGTTAGTGGCTTAACCCAACACATTGTTTATTTCTTACTCATGTAAAGTGCATACAGATAAGGCAACTTTCCTGTCTTCCGTGGGGTGACTCGGGAATCCAGGGATTCTGTTTTATCCTGAGGCCTCCACAGTCGTCACCTAAATAAGAGACAGAGACGACAAACCAGCTAATAGGGCCTGAGACCAGAAGAAAGACGTCACTACAATTCGCATCCCCTTTTGGCAGAACTCAATCTCATGATCCCAATATACCTACAAGGGGGCTGAGAAGTATTGTGTTGTCTCGTGCCAAGACAAGACAGTGTGGTGAAGCTACAGAATGGTCTCTGAAATACCATCCCTAGAATTGGGAGGGCCCTTTCCCTCGAGCGAGCCTCCAGTGCGGTGAGGCTGTGGGCTGCAGAGGCCAAGGCGCAGTGACCACATCCCCCTTCCTGGCCCTCTGCTGCCCCACGCTGGGCCTGCATGGACCCCACACTTCAAAGTCTCTTCCTCTTTTTCAGGGTCTTACCGTCTGAGCTTCCTCTACACCGGGGTGTCCAGGCCCACTGACAGCCTCCCTAGCTTCCAGGCCACTGCCTACCTCAATGACCAGGTCTTCTTTCACTATGACAATAAAAGCAGGAAGGCCATACCCCTGGACCCATGGAGCCAGATGGAAGGAATAGAGGACTGGGAGAAGGAGAGTGAACTTCAGCAGGCCAGGGAGAGCATCTTCATGGAGACTCTGCAGGACATCATGGACTATTACAAGGACAGAGAAGGTCAGTGGACCAAGGAGGGTGGGGTGGAGGGTCTTAGCCCTGCAGGTGTGAGTGGAAAGGGATCAGCAGGGTGGAACTAATCCCCATCCCTAACAAGGAACAGAAAGCAGAGTAGAAATATGTGGACATTCTGCATCTCCCCACCCCCACCCCACAACGCAGCTGCTCTCCACCTGCCCTGTCATGTCCCCATCCTCACTCCCAGACCTCAGCTCTCACAGGAAGTTATGTCAGAGTCAACTCTCACCCAGGCACATGTGACCTCTCAGCTCCACACCCCAATCCGTCTGGGGCTGCTGGCTGGCACTTTAGAAGGCATCAGACTCCCCTGCCCAGGGATGTCGAGCAGAGAGTGAGCTCACCCTGGAGTCGGTCAGATGTGGGTTCACATCGCAGCCCAGCCAGTCACTAGCCATTTCACAGTGAACGCATCTTAATGCCTGGTCTGAATCGGCAAAACTGGAATCTCCAAGAGATTCCATCAAACTTACCTATGTGAATTCCACAAAGGCTAGAACTTCATCTGTCTTGATCACCCCTCTAGTCCCATCCCCTAGGACAGCCAGTAACACCTGCTCAAATGAAATGTGTTGCATGATTGAGAGAAAGTGCCTGGCACCAACCATGGCCCATACCGGGAGCTAGTGGGGACTGAATTCAAAGCCACATGCTGCTAGAGGTACAGGGAGTCCTAAAGGCCCTCCTCTCCATGGGGGCTCATCTGGACTTGTGGTAGGAGGCATTTGAGGAGCCAGGACAGTGCAGGGCACCAGGACTGGCTCCCATGTGTCCAGCCCAGCACGCAGTCCTGCACACTGCCCGCTCCCCAAGTCAGCCAGTCACAGGCTGGCAAACTGTTGATGCTAAGTCTTCGTAGGGCGGGCGTCGAAAGATGGGTTTCTGAGTACAAAAATGCCTAAGAAGCTACACAGAACCTGAAAGTTTCCTAAAGGAGGCCAGAGTTTTGCAGAAATCTGAAGGATAAGGACTGGGAAGCCCGGGTAAGGAAAACAGCCCAGTGAGTGTGTCAGAAATAGGACAGGGTGATTGATGCACAGTGCCCAGAGACACCAGCAGACATTTCACCAGCTGGAATAAAAACGTTGACACGAGTAATTATGAGGAAAGAGGGTAAAGAGATGAACACAGGGTGGCAGGAGAAAGGATGGGAGCGAACACTTGTTGAGCACTTGCTAGGCACCAGGCACAGGTGTTAACACATGTCATGCTCCCGCTCACCCTCTAAAGTAGTACTGTCACCATCGCCGTCTCCAAGATGAGAAGACAGAGGCCCAGAGAGGTTAAAGGCCCAAGTTGGTGCACAAGCCAGGTGGGGGTGGGGAAAGAGCTGCCAGTTGAGGCCAGGGAGCTTGAGAGGAGAACCTGTGCCCTCGGCGCTAATCAGTATTGGGTAAACACCTCCCTTTATCACCAAAATGAAGACATGTGTCCCCTTCCCTAAGGAGGCTGATTTCCAAGGCTTGTGGCTCTCTAGGAAGAGAGGGGGGCCTCCGAGATTTGTAATGTAGATATCAAACTCTGGAGAAGAGGGAAGCAGAGATCACATCACATTTACTCCAGTGGTGACATCAGCTCCACTTAGAAATGAGAGGGGGGGAAAGGGGGACATTTCATAATCTGCATAAAACTCTAAATATGAAATTCTATTTCACTCAGAGACAGCACTTCAGTGTGGTTGTGTCAGGTTTCTAAGAGCTTCCGATGGGGCACCTGGGTGGCTTAGTGGGTTAAGCGTCCAACTTCAACTCAGGTCATGATCTCGCGGTTCATGAGTCAGAGCCCTGTGTCAGGCTCTGTGCTGACAGCTCAGAGCCTGGAGCCTGCTTTGGATTCTGTGTCTCCCTCTCTCTCTGCCCCCTCCCCACTCCAACTCTGTCTCTCTCTCTGTCCCTCTCTCTCTCTCTCTCTCTCTCTCTCTCTCTCTCTCTCTCTTTCTCTCAAAAATAAGTAAAACATAGGAGCACCTGGGTGGCTCAGTCGGTTAAGTGTCTGACTTCAGCTTAGATCACAATCTCGTGGTTCATGAGTTTGAGCCTCACATCTGGCTTTGCGCTGACAGCTCAGTGCCTGGAGCCTGCTTCAGATTTTGTGTCTCCCTCTCTCTCTGCCCCTCCCCCACTCTCTGTCTCTGTCTCTTTCTCTCTCAAAAATAAACATTTTAAAAAATTAAATAAATAAAACATTAAAAAATGTTTAATAAAAGAATTTATAGGGGCGCCTGGGTGGCTCAGTCAGTTGAGCGTCCGACTTCGGCTCAGGTCACGATCTCGCGGTCCGTGGGTTCGAGCCCCCCCCCCCCCCCCCCGCGTCGGGCTCTGGGCTGATGGCTCAGAGCCTGGAGCCTGCTTCCGATTCTGTGTCTCCCTCTCTCTCTGCCCCTCCCCCGTTCATGCTCTGTCTCTCTCTGTCTCAAAAATAAACTTTAAAAAAAAAAAAAAGAATTTATAAAATATAAAAAGAGCTCCCAGTGCATTCACAGAGATGATGCATAGGGACTAGACATCCTGTGCCTAGTCTCTAGCTCCCTGATACTCCCCGGCTGGGAAGAATGTTTCTCTGCTCAGACGGGCCTAAAACCCAAAGCAAAGCAACTTTCCCTGTCTCTGTCTGCTGTATGTCTGGCTCATAACCCATTTGTCAAGATAAAGGGACCGTGTGCTTAGGTTTCCAAAACCACTCTTCCTGCTGTTTTTGCAAACTGTGTAGGAATAGCAGTTATTAAGACGGAGTTGATGCCAGGATGACTGACTTCCTGGGGGCCCGGGGAGGGTACAGGGTCTCACACCTTTCAGGGAAGGTTTGGCTGTGAGCTCCTGAATAACAAAAGCAGTGGAGCATTCTGGAAGTATGCCTACGATGGACAGAACTTCATCGAGTTCAACAGAGAAATCCCAGGCTGGGTCCCCCAGGACCCAGCAGCTCTGAACACCAAGCGGAAGTGGGAGGCAGAAGAGGTCTACGTGCAGCGGGCCAAGGCCTATCTGGAAGAGGAGTGCCCGGCGATGCTGCGGAGGTACCTGCAATATGGCAAGGCCTTCCTGGACCGACAAGGTACCCCCCACTTCCTGTGCCCTGCTCCTCCCGAGCTGAGCTGAGAAGGACCAAGGTGATCTCAGGCTGGGAACCCAGGGAATATCTCAGGCACATCCCATGGTGGTGTCTCTATGCTGATGCCTCCTGGCTTGGCCCTGGATGGAGGCAGGCATGTAAAATGCCTGCCTGCGACAGGACTGGTAGGCACAAGCTAACACGTTGGTTTGGGAGGCGATGAGAACGAGGGTCCTACAGGATACAGCAGGGAAGGATCTGATAGACAGAGCTGCAGGCAGAACTGAGGCCTAGAGCTGAGCCTGGGAGAGGAGAGAGCCCCAAAGCCCACTCAGAAGTTTGGGAAAAAATAAAAACTGTACGGAGGCATTCACAATTTCTTGCCATCAGATGTCAGTACATGGTGGAGGGACAGGGGAGCAAGAGGGTGGCCACAGTCATTCCGTGATCCAACATGGAAACCCTCAGCCTTCCCTGATCTTTGTAAAGCTTCCCTGGGGAGGCAGACACAAAACTTGGAGTTCTGCTCATCACGAACACCCAGAGAGTGGAGGGAAGGGACACGAGCAGGGAGTCATCTAGGGCACACCCTCCATGTCCGTGCTCTGTCCCCCTGCAGATCCCCCATCTATGTCCATCACCAGGACCCCAGGAGAAGATACAATCAAGTGCTGGGCCAGTGACTTCTACCCACAAGATATTGATCTGCACTGGATTCAGGGGGGCAATACAGTAGAGACTGAGGTGAGGGGAGACCTTCTCCCCAGTGGAAACGGCACTTACCTGTCCTGGGTGTCGTTGACAGTTTCCCCTTGGAGAACTAAGAACACAGTCTTCTGTCGCATAGTGCACAGCAGCCTGGACCAGCCCCTCACTGGGCTGTAGGACAAAAGGCAGGGAACCAAGGCTGACAGCCGCAAGGGGACTCAGGTGCAGCAGTCACCCTTCCTGTGGAACGCCAGAAGATGAGCTCTAGAAATCACCGTCAGCATCACCAGTGGGGCCCAGGGAACAGTGCGAGAAGTCAGGGGACAGAAGATTTGAATGCCGGCCACTGAGCTGACTCACTGCTAAATTCTCTTGCAAAACCCCATTATCTAATCTATAGAATCAAATCAACAGTAATCACCTTGCCTAGCACACAGTGTAGGAAGAGATTTTTCAACTGCAATGGAGTATAAATAATGAGTACATGTTACCATTCGTCCTGTGCTCCTAAGCCTCTGATTCATCTGAAATTCTCGGCATCGACTCAAAGCAGCGTTTCTGGGCATCATGACCTGGGGTGTCAACTGTAGCGTGGCATGGACCACCTGGTCCGTTGGGCCTTGTTTAGGAGCCCACTGTGGATGTCCCATCTGTTGTGAGGTTGGAGAACCTCTTTAATACAAACCCAAGCCTCCTCTGTGCCTCAGTTGCCCCAGACCTCCCTCCTCCCTGTGAAACACTGCCCTCCATTCCAGTGCTCCATCATTCCCACACCATTTTGCCTTGGAGCCACACACCATAGCTCATTCGAGAGGCTTCCTCTCTCCGGGACATACTCCCAGGAAAGCAGGAATCTGATGTTCACTTGTATGCGTGTGTGTGTGTGTGTGTGTGTGTGTGTGTGTGTGTTTAACCAAGTTACCCACCACCATCCACAGGTTTAAACCCCAAAAGACAGAGCAGAGCTCACACTTGACCTTTTCATTAAGCTAATCTCTATGACGAGACCTTCCTTTCCTTCCCAGCCTCAGCCTCTACACTGGATTTCTCCAAGTGAAATGAGCTGAGCTGAGCTCATTAAGCATTCAGAATTCTAAGCTGACTCTTTTATTTTTCTGGAAACTCTAAATTTTAAGATTATACTTTTTATTTTTGATACTTTGACCAAGTTTGGAAATCAAAGCTGAGAAATAGTTTCTTCGGTCTATGTGAAATCCATATTCCTCTCCTCCGAGACAAAAACACAAACAAATAAACAGTATAGGGCTACAGGTGGGGATATCCCAATAGTCAAGAGGGAAAAATATAGCCATTGACATTTCAAACCACATGACACTGAACAAATAAAGAAAACCACGTGATGGGAGAATTTCAGATCAATAAGGAAACCCAAAGTCCACAGGAACAGGCCAGGGCTAAGGCAGACTGAAATGTGAGACCCCACCCCACCTAGGACAGGGGACATGGCTTGGGAGTGGGTCAGGAAAGGGAACCTCAGAAGACCCCAGTCCTGGCCAGCTGTGGGGGAAGGGGAGAGGGACACAGAGCCACTCGGACACCCAGAGAAACTTCCTGGAGGGATTCAGATTTCAGAGGAGGTGTGAAGGCCAAGACAGCTGGCCAAGAAGAGGTAAAAAGATCGTTCCTGACCAGTCGGGCATGAGATGGTTGAGTGGAGGGCCACAGGGACCTGACAAGGGATGTGACTGAGAGTGGAGCTAGGCCGTGGGCATGCCCAGGCCCACCAGGGAGGATAAAGGGCCCAGAGGACCAAATGTGTGTCCTTCCCTGAGCACCTCCCACCTGCCCAACAGAGAACCAGCAACAGATCCTAAGTTCAAGGGCACTTTAAAGATGCCCCACCCCAGGAGGGCCTCACTGCCACAAACTATCTCCTTGGCAGTTCCTCAGTCCCTTAGTACTACCTCGTCTCTCTGGAAGATTCCTCTGGGAACAGTTCACCAGCTAGACTGCAGGAATGGGCAGGAGATGCCAAAGGGCTACAAGACTTAACCCTAGTCTCTGTTAAGGTCCTCTTCAGTTTGGCTGAACGCTGCCCTTTCAGCCTAGCGTGCTACTGGGTCTTGCTGTGCCAGCCAAGTAGACCTGATTGTCAGATATGTTTAGTGTTTTCTCCTGTTTCTTTTGTTTATTTATTGGTGCATTCACTCAAGTATTCTATACTGAGTATCGATTTTCTGCTTGGTACTCTAATAAGCAGTGGAGACCAAGCAGGACAAGTAGGTACCACCCTTTCCTGCCTGGAGCTTGCCCCAATTCTGTTTATTGAAACAATACCCTCTGTCAAGGTTCAACCCAAAGCTTACCTCTTCCCATGACCGCTACCATGATCACTAATTCCAACACATACTCCTTCTATGCTATCTCTCAGATAGAAAAATCAGGGAAGATTTCCAGAAAGCCACTGAGGGAAGCTAATTTCCACACTATCTAAGCATCCCACACCACCCTATCACCTCATCTCTTTTTTGTCCCTTTCCAAGTGAAAGGAAAGGAATCAAAGATGGGAATAACCGGGGGGGAAGAGCATTTGGGGCAGAGGGCACAGCAAAGGCCAAGTCCCCAGGGCAGGAACAATCATGGTGCTTGAAAGGCAGAATAAAGACCAGTGGACTCCAGCATCATGAACAAGAGCAGAGTCATAAGAGAAGATGTTGAAAAGGCAGATAGCAGCCAGATTGTATAAGAGCTTTGTCAGCCTTGGGAAGGAGTTTCTACTGCAAATGGCACTGCCTGGTAGGTTTTAACAAAGATGGTGATATGATTTGATTTAGGTTTTTAAAATATCCCTTTGGGGTGCCTGGGTGGCTCAGTGGGTTGAACCTCGGACCCTTGATTTCAACTCAGGTCATGATCTCGCAATTCATGGGTTGGAGCCCGACGTCTGGCTCCACGCTGACGGTGCGGAGCCTGCTTGGAATTCTCTTTCCCTACCCCCCTCTCAAAATAAATAAATAAACTTTAAAAATAAAATATTCCTTTGGCTGTTATGTGAAGAACAGACCACGGCGACGGAAGAGTGGAAACAGGGAGACTAGATACAAGGCCGGGGGAAGAACTTGGATCACAGTCGTAGTAGCTGTCAAGATAGGCAGCCAGAGTCAGGATATATTCTGGGGATCAAGCCTACGGGGACTTGCGGATGGACCCGATGAGCACCGAATTTGCTGAGAGGTTGGCTATGAGCTGTGGGGTAGAGTCTGATCTGAGTCACTTCTGGCAGCACGCTCCTCCCTAGGCTGTCATGTCCCACACAGGCCTCCTGCCTCAGTCCCCTTGATTGCTCACTCCACCTGATCCCTGCTGCTGGAGCATCTGGAAGCTTCCTGCTTCTCATCCAAGGAAGAATTTTCAAGATGATCCACCTCCAATAGTATTGCCTGCACTCCCAGGGTAGCTACTCCCAAGACCAGCCTCCAAACCGATCCGTGCTGTTCCTTTCTGCGTCTTTCCTCGCTCTTACAGCTCAGACCTCATTCGTCTCTCCCTCTAGCCCCCTTACACGGCCCCACCCTGCCTGCGTACCCTGGGTGAAGAGCCTCCTCCCAGACCTTCCTCTCAAGCTCTCCAGACTCATCTTCAGCGTTGCTCGCGCGCCCCCTCGTGGTCTAAAGGCAAAGGTGCAGGCTGGCCGCGCGCACCTGGGCCGGGTCTCCTCCTGGCTAAGTACCAGGAAATGCGTTAGCTCCCTTGGAACCTAGGAAGCCAAGGTGGCTGGATGTAGATCCCCGACAGCAGGAGAGCTCCAGGAAGTGGAAATGCTTTCTACCTGAGAGGTGAATAATTGCTATCGACCATTCCTAAACTAAGAGCTGGCAGAGAGAAGAAGGAACCCCGGGTGGCCCAAACTGAAAAGACCCGACTGAATGCTTCTCCTAAGCCCCGCTGGATCTGCTTCTCCCCCGTGGCTGCCCCAGAATTTCTTCATTGCTGACCCGATACTCCTAGCTCTCACCTGCTCTGGCTCAAGGGCTTGCATTTGGCTTTGAACTGCAACTCCCAGTGCCTACTTTAGGCAAAAACTCAGAATAAACTAGTGACAGAAGGAGGCTTCCTGCACAAATGTGTCATTTAGGAATGCCGCTCAGCTGCAAGGAATATCGTATTTGACTGCAGATGGCTCAAACGAGGGATTTTTCTCAGGGCACAACAGCCCCCCTTCTCTATGGGTTTGGGGTCGCCCCCTACTGGTCACAATAATAACTGCAGCAGGTGTTAGGTGTTAGGAGACAGAAGCCTTCTTCAGCTCAAAGTCAGGACTCACGCCTTGAGATAATGGCCTAAATTCTTCCTCCCACAATTCCTGCCTTTTATCACCGAGGAAAACCTTCCTAGGAAGACAGACCCACCCACCCCCAGCCGACCTCCCTTTACATCTCACCGACCAAAGTCAGTTTCATGCCACAGGCTGAGCCCCTGAGATTAAGAGTTTTCTGTCAATTCTTGTCAAAACCAGAGGGCATTTTTTAGCACAGAAGAAGGAGGAAGATTATTTGGAGGTAAGCGCCAACAGTTTCTGTTACCCTGGAAAAATATATACAATGTTAAAAAAAAAAAAAAAAAAAACCAGCTCCCATACTTCTACGAAACATTAGCACATTCCCATTCATGTCAGGAATATCACGAATGCCTATTTCCACAATTATTCAATATTTTTCTAGAACTTCTAAGTTAATTCCTTAAGACAAGAGGAAGTGAGAAGTTCAAATATTGACAGTCATGAAATGAATGACACTTATTAGCAGATGCTATGTCTTCCTACCTAGAAAACTCAAGAAAATCAATGGCCACTTCACTAAAACAGAGTTCAAAAATGTGGGTGACAAGCAAATACAGGAGATCAATAGATTTTCTACACACCAACAACAAATAGTGGGAAATAAAAAAGAAACCCAGCCACATTAGCTTTAAACAGAATAAAAACAAAATAGCCAGGAATGAATACATGTTTTCCTGGGGGTTGAGCAGGATGTCCCAATTTATATAGCTTATTGTTTGCAGCAGAGTTTCCCATCTTTGACCTTGAATCTGGTATTTGCCACTCCTCTTTAGGAACTCTCCCAGCCCTTCTGTCTCCAGCTTTCAGGCATATCCCACATCCCATCCACACTTTCTCTCTACCCAGGCTGTGTAAGGGGTCTGGAGAACCAAACACG